GAGAGCAAGATGAAGCGGTCTTGAAATTCTTATAACGTGCGGTAAGGGGTACAGTAATCTCAGTTATCTTGTTAGTGTCGAATGTTTTCATGCGTCCTAAGAATATGCGCTAAAGAAAAATCTAAACAAAGTTGTGCAGTAACCCGGGATTTTTTAGTCAGTTTTTGCCTATAGAGCTTGGATTTCGAGCAAAATCCGACTTTCGAATTTTGACTTGTAACTTGCCACATTGGTGGCCCATGGTCATAGTAGTACGACGGGACAAAAATCAATCCTAATGAATTTTTCTGCCTTGAGATATTGAGACGCGAATATTTCACCTGAAGGTGCGGGTGAGAGCCAGATGTTCGAATCTCAGTATCTCAAAGGCAGAAAAATTCATTAGGATTGATTTTTGTCCCGTCGTACTACTATGACCATGGGCTACCAGTCTGGCAAGTTTCAAGTCAAAATTCGAAAGTCGGATTTTACTCGAAATCCAAGCTCTATAGGCAAAAACTGACTAAAAATTCCGTATCTCAGCAACAAAGCACCATGGGGATGAACCAACCTAGGGTATTTCACTACTCACTGAGGCCTACAAGATACAAGTAGTCCTCAAGAGGTTCCCTCGTTAGGATAAGCAGTACTTAATGAGCAAGCGGTTGTTTTGACGCAAACATTTCTAGGTTCTTAAAGAAAATATAAACTTCAGATAAACATGTGGAAAATGTCGTGACGCTGCAAAAACTGTGAAGTCACAAAATGTGATTTATTCATTTGGTTGATTGACTGCGTTGAACTGCACAAGGTTTGGGTTTTGATGTAGCATTTGTTTTTGTTCGAGATTGTGATCTTGTACGTGTTTGTGGTTTTTGACGTGTACAACGAGCACGAGAAGTAGTAGCAGTCTGATCATCATTATCAATATCATTATCATCAGGTTGCGGTTGAGTAGTACGTCGTGCTACTCTCAATTGTCGTTGTGCAAGTTTTGTACATTTTTTCTTTGCTTTTGAGGTACCAGCAACTAAAAAAGATAGTAGACGTAAAACTTCTGGTAATGATTTTGTTGAATCACGTAGACACTGATGTAATTTTTTGATTTGGGCTGTTTTGTATTTTGATTTAAATCTTGATGGTATTAATTGATGGTTTAGATCTGTATCAGCAGCATGACAGGTGGATGGCGAATTTAATTTAGCAAATAAATGTGAGACAATAAAATCTTCTCTTTGTAGCAGCATTAAGAAATTCCAAATGTTTGGGTGTGTTGCATTTGTACGCCTAATTAGACGATGACTATAACCTTAAGAAGATTAATGTAATAAGCGATAGTGCATTGTTTGGTAATATGCAACGAAAATAATATCAAACAATGTACCTTGTAGTTGATTATTAGTTCGATGTTCATCATCTCCAACACACCATATTAATGGTTTAAACAAAATCATCCATTCGTTATAAAAATAACTGATGAATGGTTGTAATTCTGGAAATTTTTCACACTGTTGAATTAAAAAAATTTGATATGCATCAGGAACTTTATCAATTGGTAGTAATAGAAGTGCCATAAATTTCCTTAATAAAGTTCTAATTATCGGTTCATTATCATACAATCTTTTAAGACCTAGACGTTGTATTTGACGATATAGAGCCTGGTTCATAGGAAACCAGCAGCCACGTACAGTTGATTGCGGTAACTGAATGAAAGTAAAAAGAATTTGTCTTGCTTACACAGAGCTTTCTCTTTTGAAGTGACTGTCTCTTTCAAGTAAAAACAGATGAGTAGTTGCATGGTAAGTACTTCCTCAGCAAGAACTTAGCAGAAAGCGTTTTTTGAAGCTGCTTTTTTCAAAAGTTCGCCTTTCCTTTTCACTTACTGAGATACAACGAATAAAAACGTTTCTAAGCAAGAAGTTGCTCATGTAGAACTGATTTCGACTCTGTCAAGCAAAAATAGCGCAACATTTGACCAGCAGGTACTTACTCATGAAAACCAGTATCATCAAAAGCACTTGCACTTCTCAAGAAAGACTCAATCAGGCTGTAGAGATAGATATTCATCTAGTATTATTACTCACTGTTCGATCGACTGCATTTATGAATGCTCTTTCATAATCCGATATAACTAATTTTGGAGAAAAAACTAGTCCACGTGCAAGTGATTCTTCTTGGAGAACTTCCAAGATTTTTTATAAACTTGCTGTGTTCGTCGACCGGTTAAACAAAATGCAGCTGGTATATCTACTGAAAGAAGAAAGTGTGAAAGTTTCACGATTATAAGATCTGTGGGTTCCTTGATCGCAGAGTATCACACTAATATAAATGTTATTATAACCTACAATTGCCATTTTTTTCTGACATAAAAATGTATAATTCTTCAAATAGATGAGGAACACTTTTAAAAGTTCCATTAGCAAATATAATGTTACCATTACATAGACAATGCATTTGTTCAATACTCGAAAAAATTAATAATTTTTCACCAATTTCATCAGAAACCGAATCATGTAATGAAAAGGTTTGTCCATCGTTTGTTTTAATAAACTTTTCTGGAATTTGGAATAGTTGTGTTTTTGGAAGTGCTGGCAAATTTTTATGACGATGTTTTTGGAAACCATGTCCTGAAGATGGGAAGCAGAAGTCGCTGAGTAACAGCAGCAAAATAACACTTGTTGAGTGAATAGGTTAAATGCTGAGTTTTAAAAGTGATGCTTGCTATACAACTTATCCGATGGAACTGAAAAGAAATTCTGATGGTTGCTTACTCCACTTTTTAGCAAGCGGAATTGCTTGCTTTTGATTATCTGTTAAACGCAGTGTTACACATGTTGATTCAACAATTTGTTTAACGCTTAAACCTTCGGTATCAATTCGTTCTTTTACTGTTGCGCTAATTTTTCTCGTTAATTCCTCATGTTCCCTCATAAAAGCCATTTTGGCACCACGATATGATTGACCGAATTTGAAGATCGCTTCATCTTCTTTTA